TGCCCCGCACCAGCCCAGCTAGGCGACTTTTTTTTTTCCCAAAAGACAAAAATGCTCCCTTTGTTCTGGGCTGCGGCGTAAAAGAATCTATTTTAAAAAGATACGGACTGTTTATCTACAGCTGGGCCTTAAATAGCGCATAAAATAAGAAGAACTTTCTTTTTCCCTGGGGTTTGCCAGCTCCCCGGTGCGTAGCCGTGCCGTGCTGCCCGTCCCACGGGCCCGGTACCTGCAGCGCTGCCTTCGCAAGGCTCCCATCAGGTGCAGGGATGTGCTTGGGGACGTTTTTGCAACCTGCGTTTCGTGGCCGTTACCCCGACGCGCTGCATGGGGTGTGCATGCATCTGCACGCGTGCACAGCCACGTGCTTTTTTTTTCTTTTTAGCGGCTTCTAATCCTGCATCAGTGTCTCAAGGAGGGAAGTGTAAGGGGTTCTCTGCATGGGCTGAGCGACCTGTAAAATAAGCCGGCATGCGCCTTTTTAACAATACTGCCCGGTAGAGCATCCCTTTACTGGTTTATTTTCTTTTTACTAGCTGAAACAGCGCCTGTCCAGAACTATGCCCTCGCCGAGTGCTGGTTGCTTAGCAATGTTTTACAAAAAAAAAAAAACCCCATTGCAGAGCAGCGTGGTTGGGTGGCTCTCCCCTGCTTTCCCCCGCACGGCCAGGGACAGCGGCAGCTCTGCCTTTCTCTTGCAGGGTTTGGGGGGAGGCCCTGCCCTTGCTCCATCCCTGGAGGAGCGGTGGGATCCCCTGGGGCTCTGCTCCTTCCAGCTGGGGCTGCCGTGGGGAGCGGGGCTCTGCTGCGGGGCAGGAGCCTCCTGGGAGCGTTTGAGCGAGGGTGGTCTGCAGGGAGCCGGGAAGCGTTTCCCAGTATTGCGTTCCCAGCGCTTTTGGTGTCGGTGGCCAAGAAGGCTGGGAGAAAGCCCAGGTTCAAGGCGGCGATGTGCTCTGGGCCACGCATCCCGTTTCTCACCCTGCGTGCTTCCCCAGGCTCTGTTGGAGATTCCAGGTTTTTTTTTTTTTTTTTTTTCTTGCCGAAGCAGGAAAAATTGACTCACTTGCCGGTGATGTTCCTGTGAGCACGGTGGGATTTTTCCTGTTCTTACAGCGGAGGTGGAGGAGCACCAGAGACAAAAGGATTTCCGCAGCCTCCTTGGGAGGAGGAGGAAGCAGGCTGCTGCAAGACCTCTTTTCGAGGGTCTGGGAGCTGACCCCACTTTCCTGCCACGGCTGTGGGCATGCTGGCCGCTAGCGAGAGCTGCCACGGGGATGCAGCCCCTTGGGACGTGGCCCCTGGCATGGGGGGGCGCTGCCAAGCCAAGGGTGGGGACGGGCAAGTCATTGCTCCCATGTGCCATGTGCCAGTTGGGATGTGCCGGAGAGGATTCCTGTCCCGCCTGTGCTGCCCGCGGGGATGGGGCGCAGGTCCCCTCCCCACCCAGGGTCCCTATCATCCCCCACGGGACCCCCATGCTTCAGTGCCTGCCCCTTGAGAAATCAAGCCGGCTCCCTGCCGGGCCAGCTATTAACTAATTAGATTTAATAACAAGCTAATCCAAATGCGTGGCTGGTGCCTGAGGCAATCTGCTCCTGCTCGGCTCATGGGGCGGGGGGGCTGTGCCAATGCACCCGCCCTGCCCGGCGAGCCCCCCGCCTGGCCTTCTGCTCCCCTAACGGGCACTGCTCGGTCAGGAGCAAATTTCTTCTGGATTAGCATCCTCTAAATCGATTAGCTGTCTCGGGCAGAGCATTTTATTCTAATGAAATGCAATTCTAGGCTCCAGTCGATGAATTATTGTGGCAACGAGGGTAAAGTGATCCGCCGCCTTTCTGTGGGTCGTTCCAGGGTTTGGAGAGGAGGGAAACGGAAAAGGCTTGGAGGAGAAATTATAATTAGCAGGGGAGCACGTTACGCTCTCATGGGCTCACCCACGCTCCCTCAGGGAGGGAGCTGGGGGGAAAATGGGGAGCTGGGAGTAAAACGTGGCATTTCCACCGCGCCGACAGAGGCGATGTACCCGTCGGTGTAAGGCTGGATGCATCTGCACGACCCGGCGGGTGCCGGTGGGAGAGGGGAGCAGTGGCAGCAGGCAGCTTGCGGATGGAGGCAATGCTGTGTATGAAATCCCTATTGCCTGGATGAAATGGGAAATACCTGTCCTGGTTTCAGGCTTAGAGCTAAGCAAGCACGGGGCAGCAGGGCAGCCGCTCTCCGCAGGGGTGCCGTCGCTCTCCATGCACCACTGCTCTTCCCAAATGCCTCGCCCTGGCCCTGGTTGGGATACAAGGATTTTCACTATTGCTTCCTCACACCATTTTTTGCTTGTGTTGTTGGCTGCCTTTGGAAATGCCGGCTGGGGCAGTAGTTTTCCATTTCATTACCACGTCCCTGAAGTTTTCCATGCACTTAAGCCGTTGCCCGCATTTGCTGTTTTGATGCATCCCTCCTCTGTGTTGAGTATTTACATTTGATTTTATTCGGAGACCTTGTCTGCTCCCATCTGAGCTCCCTCCCCTCGCTCTGATGCCTGTCCGCCCCCCCAGCCCGCCCGCCGGCAAACTTTCTGCCGGCTCAGGCGTCATTTGCTGCTGCAGCTACAGGTTGGGCCAGGCCGGGGGTTCTGCCATAAAACAACACCAGGATGTGAACAAAAATAAACACGGGGAAAAGTGCCAGACGTGGTAGTTGGGTGGGGAAGCGGAGAAATCGCTTTTTGTTTTGTTTTGCTGCTAAGCGCACGAAACGC